TTTTTTTTTTTAAATTTGAAACATTTGAATATCGACTTTCAATTGTTTTTGTTATTCAATTTAGACAAGAAAGATGGATACTGCGAAAATTCGAGTGATTTTTGAATACGAGTTCCGACGCGGAACTAACGCGGCAGAAACAGCCCGCAATATCAATGCTGCGTTTGGAGAGGGGTCTACTAATGAACGCACCGTGCGATTTTGGTTTAAACGCTTTCGTGATGGAAATTTCGACTTAAAGAACGAGCCACGAGGAAGACCGCCCACACAGGTGAATAACGATGAATTAAGAGAGATAGTGGAAGCCGATCCTAGTCAAACTACCCAGGAATTAGCGGCATGGTTTAACGTTACCTTACCCACAATATTGACTCACTTGCGTCAAATCAATAAAATAAAAAAATACGAAAAATGGGTGCCTCATGATTTGACTGATCTGCAGAAAGAAACGCGTGTTGAAACTTGTGTTGCCTTGTTGAACCGGTACAGAAATGAAGGAATATTGGATCGAATTGTAACATGTGATGAAAAGTGGATTCTTTATGATAACCGGAAAAGAAAAATGCAATGGCTGACCCCAGGTCAAATGCCACAACAGTGTCCTAAAGCAAAACTTACCAATAAAAAGGTAATGGTAACTGTTTGGTGGTCTCAGCATGGTGTTATTCACTATAGTTTTCTCCGATCTGGTCAAGCAATAACGGCAGATGTCTATTGTGCCGAACTCCGAACCATGTTGACAAAACTAGCAGTAAAACAACCCCGACTCATGAATCGATCTTCACCATTATTGCTCCACGACAACGCGAGACCTCACACAGCACGAGAAACCATTTTGACCCTTCAGGAACTGCAGTTAGAAACCATTCGTCATCCTCCGTATTCACCAGACCTTGCTCCAACGGACTACCATTTTTTTCGTGATTTGGACAATTATCTACGTGACAAGAAGTTTTCTTCCCAGGAGGCAGTACAAAATGCTTTCACACAGTTTGTGCAGTCTAGATCGTCGGAGTTCTATCGCAAAGGCATTAATAACCTTCCCATTAGATGGCAGCAATGTATAGATAATAATGGCAACTATTTTGATTAAATAAATTTGTTAAAAATTTAAAAAATAAACAATTTAGATTTTCAGTACAAATCGGCAATTTCATACTTTAACCCCTATTATTAGCCCGCAATGTGCCCACAAGTGTCAATTTATGAGGCTGCTGAAGTAGTTTTTTCGCCAGAGGTACTGAAGTAAACCAGTTATCCATGGTAACGTTTCTGTTCGAGCCGTGTATACTGTGAGTGAGTTCCTTCACGAAATACTCTCCCAAAGGTAAACCACCGGTATTAGTACTTTTACCTAGATATGGTATACTGTTGATCATATATCTTGTGCCACTGTCACACATCATCTCCAACTTAATTCCGTATTTGGCCGGTTTATTAGGGATATACATACGGAATTTACACCTTCCGCGGAATGCCAACAGTTGCTCATCAACCGTAACATTTGTCCCAGGAACGTAATTTTGTCTGCATTGTGTCATTAGCATTTCCCATATATTCCTTATTGGTGTAAAAGGATCTTCTTTCAGCAGTTGTAGTCGAAATGCTTTGTCATCAAAGCGTAAACATCTCAGAAGGAAATCGCACCTCTCCTTGCTCATGCAGGCTAAATACCTCGTACCAGAATATTCAGTGTTGAACAATTCATCAAGGGTGAGATGATTATCTTTCAGAGCCGCGGTTAATACCATCACACCTAAAAGAGCTCTGATCTCTTCTTTGCTCGTATCATTTTGCGTTGATGTATATTTCTCATAATTTTGTTTCTTTATACGAATTTCCGCATTTGTCCACTTCACGATTTCTTCAAGCATCCGGTCAGTCATAAAATGTTCAAATAGCTCTAGTGGATCCACTATAGCCTTCAATTCGCGAGCTGGTCCTCTAGCGACATGTACAATATTTATGGCAGCGGTTCTGCCAGAAGTCCGTCCTTTGGTGGTCGCCCAAACATGACGCGCCCGACTGCGCAAAGAGCTTTGGGAAAAGGTCAAAATACAAGATGATTGTTGTGATGGAATTGAGGGTGTATTCTGTACTAATCCATTATCTTCTTCAGCTTGAGAAAGAGGTACCTGGATGTCTTCGTCACTGGAACTGGAGGAGTCAGATCTTACTGGCTGATAATCACTTTCGACATCATCCACTTCCACATTATCTTCCGTTTCGCTATCTGATAAGTTTTCCGAAGGACTGTTATTCTCTTCTTCCTCCAACAATAGGCGTGCAATACTTTCATCACTCAATAATTGTCTCGACGACATGATAAAACTGCAAGTTAAAAAAAAGCTAACTGTAAAGAAACTTACACAGACCCTAACTATTCGTCGAAATGACGACTATTTTCGTAATATTTCGAAAAATATTATACTTACACGTCGGACGCGGCTACCTCTCGGAAGAGTTCGGCGGGCACTAAGTTAACACGCGGCCAATACGCGATCGCCGCGTGCGCCGAAAAGAGAAAGCAATATTTCTGTCGCGTACTCGTCGATTCGACGAAGGTTAGGTTTCTAGGGTTAAAGTTCTGTTAAAATTTGACTCTTCAAAATGAAGCGAACAAATGAAGATGGTCTTTGATCCAACGTTTATATTCGGCAGTCCTATGATTTCCAACCATTCTTTCTTCCTTTTTTCATTTGTAGGAAAACTTGAAATAATAATAATAAAACAATAAAAACCTCATAGTGAATTGTTTTAATAACAGAATATCGATAATATGTATGCTTAGATCAACACTATCTCAAAATATTCGTTAACAACAATCATCAAAATATACAAACAAACAGGCAATCTAAAGTAACAAAAGCAAAATTTGGCAAGATTTATAAATAAACTACTTAAATAAGTCTAATTACATAAAATATTCGGGCTATTGTGTGATTTATAGACAAAAAAATAACACATGCCTGTGCAATGTAACATTCGATTGATTTGCAGTTTTTCTAAAGCCGCATCCTTTAATGCTGCAGCGTCGCATTTTTATTAATACCTAATTATTCTCACTGTCAATATTTTTGTCCAATTTAATTATAATACATGTGAATAATTCAATAATACATTTGGAAAAACATTTGTTTTGACATTTGATGTACTTCCCTTTGACAACGGTATCATGTACCTCATGTACTTGAAATGGCCACGGTTGGCATTTAAAATGACGTTACGAATTTTCGATTCCCGTGTTTGACACAGACCAATGTAATGCTATCTCTTTTGGCTTAAGACGGCACGTAATAGTTAAACAAAGACAATAATATGTTTATGTTTTCGACGTCGAAATGCATCATATACATATAACGTCTGATTTATATATGTCAACGTAACATGTCCTTTAGTTTCCATTTCCATAGTCTAAGGTGCACAGCTTGGAGCATGGAAATAAATAAAGAAACAGACTGACGTATGATTGGAAGGAATTATTATTGTTTTTTTTAAATACTAAATGTCTCTATGATTTATATTTTAAATTGTTTCTGACGCAAACTGTCGACTCTATAACATTGTCCGTGCCTTGTTTGTGCCATTTCAAATGCAACAACATATTATTATTTCCTAAATTTTCACATGAAATATTTGAACTAATTTTTGTTGCAAATTTCCAACAAACTGTCACTTGTAATAGTAAGTTTATTGAACAACACGATGTTCTACTACAGCGATATTCAATTGTTGTTTTGTGAAATTACTCCATTAGTTTGTTATAATTGTTAATACAAAGATCGAACGCTAAGAAAAAATCCTTCCGCCTGGATTTGAACTAGCGCATTCGACAACAAATTGTGACCTTTTTAACAGATAGCGAGCCTCCTCAGCCAACGGCTAAGTAACTGGCCATCTTATCAGTAAATGTAGACATTAAAGTTATAGCGATCGTCTCTGTTCTTCAGATTCAACGTGCGCGTTGGAACTAGACACGACCAAGGGTCCCAGAAACTACGCATTTAAATAGTCTCGTATGTACTAAAGAAGGATGGCGAAAGCTGACCCAATAATTATAAAATCAACGAAGAGCCGTTCATGGACTTTGCTAGTATTGGTTATTTTATGGTACACACATAAAACATTAAAGCTATAAAATACCTAATCAATTAAACATTTATGACATAAAGTAAAAAATAAAACACAATGTGGCAAAAATGTTTAGATGTGAGGTAAGAAAGTTAGCACAGGAACGTTTCGACAAGAGGCCTCTTGCCAATATGCCAATGTCAATGTCACATTCAGATTGAGAACAGTGTGGCCACTTGGGTAGATTTAATTTTTATTCATTTTCATTACGGCAGAACATGTTAACGTTGAATTAAACGTGGCAGTGTTTGGCAGATTTGGGAATATTCAGCAAGTTCTTTATTGTTTTCGGGAACAAACTGAAAACTTGTTGTTTTCTGCTACTACGAACTAACATCTGAAGCGCAATACAGGACAATGTAATAAACATAACCTATATGAACTTTATAGCCCCAGCTTCTCCAGGCTGTACTCAATTAGCTTTTTTGATGCTTCGATCATGAATCGCAAGCGTTGATAGGTCTCTTTAATGCACGTCGTCAAAAACACTGGGTCACAGAATACACGGGATGTCGCCATCATTCTTTATGAAGGACCGTAATTTATAATATAAAAAATAATTCTACTTGTACATTTACCTTTAAGTAAAACATTGTATTGTATGAAACCTTTTCGAACTTAATTCGAATTATTCTATTTCACGCAATCGACGTGAAAAGTAAAGTTTTCACGTCAGGACTCTCTCTCTAGTCGTTCCCTCATGTCCGAGGATCGTCATCTGCTTTGCGCCTACTTCTGAAGTGGATGATCTGCCTCCATCTGTTTCTATCTAGCGTCCCTAACTGTGCAAAATTTGAAGGACGACGAGTCTTTCACTTGGTCGATCCATCTCGTTAGTGCATAGCCTCGTACTCGTCTTCCTTCCGTGTCACAACAAGTTTCTCCAATTTTTCATCGCCGTGCAGAGGCAGATCATGTGGCCGAAATACGAAAGAATGTACTGGTGGCCTATGGCGGCCAACCGAGTCTTAATTTGAAACTGAGACAGGATTGACGCATTGGTACGTTCAGCGGTTCACGCTATTCTCAGCACCCGTCCCCAGCACCACATTTCGAATGCATCAATTCTTTGTCTTTCCCAGGTCAGAATTGTCCATACCTTCGAACCATACAGGAAAACGGGAAACACTAGAGCGCGTATCAATCGGATCTTAGTTTTGTCACCAATCCCTGTCTTCCTCCAGATGTTATTTAGGAGGATCGTGGCATCCTTTGCCATTCCTATACGACGCTTTATTTCAGGGAAGCAGCAGCCATCACTACGAATTTTATTACCCCAGGACTAAAAGCCTATATAAACCCTCGGAGTAATAGACACCCGAGCTCTAGCGAGGCCTAACCACCTCGGGTATACGTATTGGCTTGTTATTGCTATGCTATTGTGAAATTATTCCACTAGTTTGTTATAATTATTAATACAAAGATCGAATGCTAAGGAAAAATCCTTCGATTCAGCTTATCAATTTTATTACTTCGTGCTATGTATAGCACGTAGCCCTTTCACGGACATCTTTTACTTATTTACATATACCTGTATAACCTAATTATTGCTACATCGTTTGAATTACCAACTGTAGCCAAGGCTTCAATTGTGTTACGTAATTTTTGAACGAAGCATTGTTTATTCCAGATCTGGATTGGATCTGCTCAATTCCAAGATCCATAATGCATTAAAAAAACTCGCAGTCCCGCACCGAAGAGACTGCAGTTACCGGCGAAGCTCCGTCATCGTGATAAGGTAACTAAAAGGTCAATAAAACAGTATAAAAAATAGGCATACACGTTAGGCATACAGTTACGTCAGTTAACATGATTAACGCAAGCCGCGAAAGAACAACTAATGAAGATAATGCTGTGCCGCCAACCAGTTTAGCTGCTGTAAGAGAGTCATACAAGGATGAAGCAACCCAAAATTCGTGAGTTTAAGGATGGATAACGTTACTGCTTGAGAATTAAGGTATTTATTACACTTTAAATAACTTTCTGAAAAACTTTCTTTCTAATTTTTTTAATTTTGTGCGGGGAAAGTACGAGTATGTTTACGCTTGAGGTAATGCTCGCTTTCTTGCACTTACGCAAGGAGCTCTTCTAGTTTCAAGTCGTAGGTACGTTCTTCTACAGGGATTCGAACCTGAACTCTCAAGTGATGACCAACCGTTTTTCCATTGAGTTACAACCGCTCTACCATCTACCTATAAATTATTAAAATTACCTATAAATTGTTAAAAAACTTTGTAGGATATCGTGACTTGTCTCGTTTACGTAGCGATCAAATTAGCAATTTTAACTCCTCCCTAATGTTTTTCATGTCCCAGTCCCAGTGGAAAACGCTCGTAAGTCAGAAAGTCGTGTCCTCGAATCTTCCAATCTTTCGAATCACGTTGGCGGCATGAGTAACGTGCACTTGTCAACGTTTGGGTGCAATACTCTCTCGGTAACACGTCCTAGTTCACAATCCTCGGAAGAACCAGACAGAGGCTAGGGCAAGCGCCCAGGTTTTAGACCGGCGCTTTATTAACGCCCGGTTTAAATCGGGGTAAATCCAATTAACGCCCGAAATCGAGGGCAAAATCTATTTACAACTACTTAAATATTGGTTCAAATCGAGTTTGGTTCAAGTTTAACGAAATTACTACAAAATGTTTTTTGTTTTCTGATCTTAACGATCCGATTTGGCTTTCTATTGAATCGATTCGCTGGAAAAGAATCGATACAAAAAATCGTTAGATCGTATGCACTTGAATCGATCTTCATAGTAGTGAGAATCCACAGGATTGAAAGGTGGCTGTTGTGTGGCGAGGAGTTGCCTCTCTTTCGTTTGAAAATGATTTCTCACATCGAAATTTGTCTGTGTGTAAGCCACAAAAGGAACCCATGCCCAGCAGTTGGCCGTACAATGGGCTGATAGATATAATAGTGTTTACAATACAACACAAATTTAAAATATTGCTAAAAGCAAACTTTCATATTTTACGGTGCGTGGGTGTGCGGACTTATGCTTTAATTAATTTGTCCTCATTCTTTTCCTTGCACTCACATAAAGTTGTAAGATAAGTCTATCTCATTCGGACCTATCGGTAATCAGATGATGACGCGTCCTGTCTATTTTCGGCTAAAAACATTATTTTACACCCGCCCCTCTCCACCGCGCCCGAATAGTACCTCACCCACGGCAAGCGATAACGTCGTGTCA